TTCACCTGTGGTTCAAGAGGGCCAGTGCAAGTCTTCTGTAAAACCTAGTAGTGTGAGTACAAGTAGGCAGACTGGCCACAGAGGGTTGTTCATGATGCTGAAACCCCCCATCTCCAGAGAGGACCGAGAAAGACTTTTCCTGTGATCTGAATCATTTGAAGTTTGTACTGGAGTGTTTAGCATTCGTGGAAACTTTAATAAGCCTTCTTTCAATCTGTGTTGGCATATTAGACAAGAAGGCCATAAAAAAGTAATACTGCTTAAAAAGAGACTGGTACAAAGTATGATTGAAGTTAGGTTTGATATTTATTGAGTTTTCTTCTTTGTAATTTATTTCTAGAATTCTGTATTGAAATTTGCATTTAGTAATATAAATCATGCTTCTGAAACTGCTTTGCAGCTTAGCCTTGAAAAGAAAAAGGAAATACAGCAAGACAAACAAAAAGCGCTGGACTTAGAGATCTGGAGACAGAACTCCAAGCAAAGAGCTTTACTGAATCGTGTTCAGGAGATTCTAGAAAATGTTCAGGTAAAGTTGACCCAGATCTGCGTAGCTTTAGAGATACATCTTCATACGCGTATCCTGAGAAAGCACTGAGGTTTAAGTATTCGCTAATATAAAATGAAGTGCTTAACAGTGAACTTTCCCAGAACCAGCATTTGCTACTATTTCATGCTATGCAACCTTATTCATTATTTAGCAGCACCCTGTGTGTTTACTGTTAAGTATGGAATTTGCTTTCCACTGCTTGTTTTGACAGACTACATCAAAAGTCAGTCTTTTGCTTTTGTAACTCTGTTTGAAATATCTAGATTGTAAAACAACATACAAACAAAGCACCCTGTCCCGTGTTAAAGCAACTGGTTTACTTTATTTGCAAGTGTATAATTTAATTGGCAAACAATCTATATTCAAGTATACAATTACAGAAGTAAAATTACCTTTGCAACGGCTTGTTACAATGACCTACCTTTGCACAACTTCTGTTGTGCCCTTTATAATTGTTTTGTTTCCTTTGCTTTTTCAATTATGGGCTTAGAGGTTTAAATTAAAAAGAGTCCATCTAACCAAATAGTATAATCTGGTTTTGTAACAGATCTGTAATACAGCCTTTATACTACCCTATTTATTAAACAAATACAGTTAACAGCTGAGTTACTAAGGTGGCAGACAACTTAGTTTGTACTGTTTGCTGGAGTGAACATGGCAACAGTCATCTGACTGGGGATTTGAAGAGCAGACCAGGAACATATGTTGAATATAAAAATAAGTTAGCCTTTTTTCAAAAATGGTCCCTTGATAATTGAGGTGTTATAGGATAATCTTTATTTTTTAGTGTGGAAATCTTTACGGTCAAATGCTTGCTAGAAGTGATGAAAACTCATAACTCTGGGCTAGGTAAAGAAATGCAAAAATGTCCTTATAGTTTCACGAGTTTCACTATGACTTATTTTGATTTGTTCTTAATTAAGCACTAGATTAAGCTATATTCAGTGCCAAAGTTTTTCAATTATTCTTCTTTAATAAGTTGAGAAGATATATGTTTTAAGAGAAATCTTGCAAGATAATGTTAAGTCATAGAATTATTTGAAGATTATGCAAGTTGTTTTGTGACAAAAAGAATGTATTTGAGTTCAGATCATTGGTATCACTTAATCTGAGTAAACCATTAATCAAATTTATATTTTAGTTCAAATAACCTTTTCCTCATTTCAAAGGACATTGTATTTGAATGAAGTTGGTAGCAGTTGAACTGGACATTTTTATTGGTTTTAAGGTGACAGCATTCTGCTTTAAGTGCAGGTGAAGCTTTGACAGTAATCTGAAAATCAGAAGAGATTTTGCCTAAAATATGTGATATTATTCATTTTTTTTTCTTGTAGATCAAGAAAGCATCTAGTGCGAGTGACTTGGACACGTGGGAGGCTGAGAATACTTGCCTTGGTTCAGAATCAAAAGCCCTGACTGACTTTACACCTCTGTCAGATGTCAATTTGTCACGTCCTCCTGTGAGGAATGATTCTGCAGAGCTTGAAAAGACACCAGAAATGATCTCATCAAATGCTACTGGGCAGGTGACATCCAGTGTGACAGAAATAGTTAAACCTGTAGAAGAAAATTCAAAGCAGAGTGAGAGTCACTTCTCAAAAGACATACCTTGTCCAAAGGCTGTGTCTTCTGACAACATGAGCGGTAAACCTGCTTCACAGGCTTTGCAAATCTCGGGGAGGCCACGGCTGCCGCTGTCTGATGAGGAAGTCCAAGATCCCTATGCAATGAGTCTTCAGAACCTTCTGAAAAAATCTCGGGAGTACGTAGAGAAAGAACAAACCAGACGTAGCTCAAGAAGTAATTCAAAAAGGTGTGTGAATGAAAGTCATTCAGATAAAGAAAACGATGCAGTTAAAACAACTGACACTGTGAAAGAGAGAGTAAGGCTTACAGGCAGGAGCTGTGCTGCTGCGACGCTCGATAGGCCCAGTCTTAATAAGTCACATACAGTTCTCCAAGGTGCCTCTGCTCACACAAGTAACACGAGCATGCCAACTTTATCCAGTTTTTCTAAAGTGGACATACCTATGAGAGTTGGAACACCACCATTGGTGGATTCAGATTCAGATGAAGAATTTAAAAATACTTCTACGTTTGACCGTGACAGTAGCATTATCAGGAGCCTCACAGGTTCTTATGCTAAATTGCCAAGCCCTGAGCCAAGCATGAGCCCGAAAATGCACCGAAGACGCCCACGACCTTTATCAATGGGACACATCGTTATAAATAACCCTGTGAATGCCTATGAGTTAAGCCCTAAAGGGAAGGGAAGAGCAATGGACTTGATTTTGCAAGATATTGCTGATAAAAATAATGTGTCTGAATCGGTGCCGAAGTTAATGGTGGACCTTGCTGTGCTTTGCCCTGGCAAAGTTCCTGGTGTCCACAGGAATTCTTCAGATCCCTGTGATGGGTTGGTGGTTGGCAAATCAAATCGACATTCCTTTGGACACTTGGAGAGCAAAGGAACGTTGTCTGCTACAGTGGAAGGACAGGTAGTGCTGGATGGCAGAGGACAGTATAAAGTAGAGACTAGTACTAATATTGTAGCTCCAAAATTGCATGAGCCGCTCGCAGTCAGTCAGTCCGTGGTCACTCAGAAGATCTTAGCTGTGAATGAAGCCCAACCACCTAGTTTGGTAGAACATACCAAATGTAATTCTCCAGTAGAACTCAATAAATCTTACGATGTTGAAAATCCATCGCCACTACTAATGCAAAGCAAGAATAAGCGACAGCAGATGGATACTCCAAATGCTCCCCTTGCAAATGAACAATTTCTAGAAAATGGTTTTGAAAAGGTAAAACGTAGGCTTGATTTGGATACCGAAAACTCCCAGAAAGAAAACAGTCCCTGTGTGTTAGCAGTTGGAATGGAAGAACAGGAGAAGCAGTGGTTGCAAGAACAAAAATACCCCGTGGGATCAATTTATGTTACCAAGAATGTAGTTCCTGATGGTATTGCAAAAGGTAAAAGATTCTCTTATTTTTTTAAAAAGCTTATTTCTAAATTTAGTAAACAATGACCGTTACAAATGTTATACTCAACGGTGGTTCTAAGTATTTGCATATTGAAAGATAAAAGTTCTGTTTAATGTTGATTACCTTTCCAGTAACCTCATTTTTCCTGTAGTTTTTAATTAATGACAAATTCTGAAACTCAGCTTACTACCCAACCCTTCTTTTTAACTGCTACAGAATGACTGGAATGATTTTTGATTTAGAAGTCTCGTGGAGTCTAAGAGCTGTTCAGTAACAAATATTTGACTGAACAATTCGTTTATGAAGAAACATCAGATGAAATACTGTTTTTCAGTTTTGCAAAGTCTCTATCTATTCTCAAAGGTATTGTTTGGTGCCACAAGTAATCTTTCCTCTTTGAAATATACGAATTTGAATTTCATTGTATTAAGAAAATAAGCTCTTACTCTGCTAGTCCTAAATAATGCTATTAGAAGGGAGACCCTGTGTAAATTAAAAGGAAATATCTTTTAACAGAAAATATATTTTTATAGATAGGGTGCAAATATTTACATCAGTATTTTCTTTCAGTTCAAGACTGTTACATCTGTGCATCTTTCTCAAATAAAACCCAAGTGGCATAGATATTCTAGTTCCCTAAAGTGAACATAGATATACTACTCTTAGAGATATTTTGTGTCTCTGTGTGCACGTTTCTTTATTAGAATATAGGTTTTATTTTGTTTGACTTTATTGCTTTTACTACTGTTGCATCCACATATTTATCTCATAAATATGAACGTCGAAGGACTGCAAGAACTGATAAGATTATTTGCAATGCATAATATAAATTTGATATAAAAGAAGTGTCTTTTTTCCTGATTATGTATATGAATCACGTTTGAAGTTATATATTTCTATTAATAAATAAGAATATAGAAATGGATAAAGAAGATATAGAAAATGTTGAAGTGCCTGATTCTTCATAATGTATATATCTTCTCAGAAGAGATTTTAAAAACAAAAATGCTGGCTTTTGAAGAAATGAGGAAGAGACTTGAAGAGCAGCATGCACAGCAACTGTCAATTCTGATAGCTGAACAAGAGAGAGAACAGGAGAAGCTGCAGAAGGTAAGGCAACAAGAAGAAGAATTCCGAGCAGAAATAGTGTGTGCTTTATTGTAAGTTGTCAGAAAGTAATTGCTTTTACAATAAATATTCTATTACTCTGTGGAATTAGAAAACCAATTTTATAGCCGATTTCTTCTTTTGCAGGAATTAGAAGAGCAGGAGAGAAAGCTGAAAGGAAAGAATATTGCTGCCACAGAAATAGAAATTTCCAAAGTGAATATTAACAGTAGGATGGAGTTGGAGTGGAGAAAAAAAAGTGAAAGTGGCTTTCTGGAAAGTATGCAGTCTCAGATGGAAACGGTCCATAATGCAAACTCTACCAGCATTGGTAAAAATGGGAGGACAGAATAGAGATTAAATGTTGTTGTTCTTGCTCTGCAGTGTTCAACTGAGTCAGCTGCCTCACTGTAGTGTTAAGGGCAGTGCTCCTGGCTGAGTCTACTTGTCAGTCTCTTCTGACCGCTGCCACTTTCCGCTCTTGGCAGCTCATGTAGAACAAATTTTTGCCTACTTGGCATTTGCGTGTTTTCAGCTATGCTTGTGCTGGCCCATGTATTGCATGTGTTTATATAATTGTTTTAGGGCATACCTGAGGAAAGCAAGATAAAAGTAAACTGATATGGTCAAGGACAAGGACATAGGTTTGACTCGTCACAGAACATTCGTCTATGTAGCTGCACAGTAATGGACTAAGTACTCTTGTTTGTATAGGAGGATTAAAAGCGCTCGGCCAGTGAATCTCCCCTGAGAGGGAAATACATCTCTAGCTGATGGAACATGTCTCCCGCGGTCCAGAGCATTATGAAATATTGTGTGTTTGTCTTCTGTTTAGTCATTTTTGCTCTGAAATGGATCAGAAGTAACTAGATTGCTTGTTGTCTGTAATTGGCTTGAGTTGAATTTCTTGACTATATTAACATGGACAGACTTAGTACTTACTATCAGATATAGATGGAAATTTGATACTTCATCAGGTAAAAGGTAAAAAGAACTTTGCTTGAGTGTAAAATTCCTGAATTCTACAAACTCATACTTTATTCATCTTTAGAATTCATGTTAAAGCTGTTTTGTGGGTAAGATTTTGTGTAGCTGTTTTAATAGTGGGCAGGTGACCTGCTTGACATTCTTTCAAGGGGTGGCATATGGGATTTCCCCTCCCACTGGCATACAAGTATTATAATGTGTTATAAATAATTTATAAGTTTATAATAGCACGGGAAGCCCCTTTTCTTAATCCTCGAAAGACTTCCTGACTGAAACCAGAGTTAAATTTGAAGTCTCTATCTGCTTGATGCTTATGTATGTATGTATGTATGTATTTATTTATTTTTGTGGAGTATTGCATTACATGTTCTTTCTTAAGCAAGCATAGTGGTCTTGTATGTGTATCTACACACACATATATATTTATACATCTATCTATGTATATACGTAGAAATATAGTTATTTTATAGCCAGAAGTTTGTGTGTTGAACAGTACATTCTCTTTTGCATTCAGGTTTTGCTCATACTACACCAAGCACCTTTGCTTCAACAAGTGAAACTTCATTCTTCCTTTGGGGCCCATCAGGTAGTGGAGTTATAAAAACATCAGTATCCAGGCCAAGTAACAGGATCAAAACTAGGTGGACTCAGGTAGAGAAAATAAGATTAACTTATAGCTGAAGAAACTGTCTGTCTGTTTTTTTTTTTTTTTTTTGTCTTGTTTTGTTTATGTGTGTGTGTGGGTGTAACTGCATAATAGCTGTGACAGAGTAAATCTCTCAAAAAAGTTCCTATATCGACCTAGATTATACAAGAGAAGTGTGTGTGTATGTGTATATCTATGTCTTTTCTAATCTAAACATATACACACATATGTCATATATTTCTTGTTATTCATATGAGTAAATACATAACATTATATTGCTTCTGATAAATTAATATTATGATGCTATAGTAGGTATCTTTGGCCTAGCCAGTTTTTACACCTAGCAACGAGTTGTTTCTTATGTGAAAGATATGTCATTGATACTATTTGAGAAATAATCCATAACTTTTCTATAGAATATTTAGAAACCATTTTCTTTCTTTTAAGGTTTTCAGTCCAGACATACAAATAAAGTTCAATAAGATCACTGCTGTGGCCAAGGGATTTCTCACTCGTAGACTCATGCAGACAGAAAAATTGAAATATCTCAAGCAAACTGTCAAGTTAAGGAGATCTTTTTTTTTTTTTTTTTTATACATATATATTATCCTTGCTCCTATCTTCAACTGACAGAGGAAATAATGCATTTTCTGCAAAGTATGAATTCTGCTTTCTGGAAAACTTGGGCACATGTGTCATGTGAACGTGTTTAGGCGTTGCATTGCTCTGTAACAAGACCGACTATCGAGCCCAAGGCCAGTGAAGAGAACTGGCACTACTTGTACAATTATTTGTAACCATTCCTTTGTTGCAAAGTATTATGCTGAATGCTTAATCTTATTTTCTTCTCTTTTCCAGGATACTATGGAGTTCATAAAAAATTTTCAGTCAGAAGCCCCATTAAAAAGAGGAAGCGTTTCAGCACAGGATGCATCCCTCCATGAACGAGTAATGGCTCAGGTGATATAATTTAAACTTTTTTTCTTTTTCCCTTCTCCAGCTATTCTGATTTTGTAAAAGGAAGTTATTTGGGGATGTATTATAACATAAATACCTAAAACCTGTAGAGTGGCTTTATTTAAAGTAAAAAATTCTTAAGTGTGGCTGTGGAAAAAAAAAATTCCATTTTCATTTTGCCATATTAAGGTAGATTTCAGAATTATCTCTTCAAGTATTTTGTTTAGAATGAAAATGAGAAGAATGTGGTAACCAAAAACATGTGAAATTTAACTCAGCTCAACATTTTATTAATTTTTAAAATTCTTTTTCCAGCTGAGAGCTGCTCTTTTTGACATCCATGACATCTTTTTTATAATGGAGGCATCTGAAAGAATGAATATTCTGCGTCATGATCGTGAAGTTCGTAAAGAGAAGATGCTCAGGCAAATGGTGTGTTATAACTTTGAGACAAGTTTTAGATTTGAACTGTTACTGCTTCTGAAGGATTTATGACCCAGTAACAAATTTAGAATTTTAATTACCGTTTCTGCTTCTGTATACCATCATATAACGCTGGTAGAAAGGTATAAAAATCTCAGGGAGAACGTGGGTCCGCTGGAGGACGGGATGGGCACCTTGGTTACAAATAACACAGAAAAAGCAGAGTTGCTCAATGCCTTCTTTGCTTCGGTGTTTACCAAGGGCAGCCCTTTAGAGCCCCAGGCCCTAGAGGCAAGAGAAGAAGCTGGTGGAGAGGAAGACTTGCCCTGGGTAGAGGAAGATTGGGTCAGAGAGCACCTAAGGAACCTCGATACCCACAAATCCATGGGCCCTGATGGGATGCACCCCAGAGTGCTGCGGGAGCTGGCAGATGCCATAGCTAAGCCGCTCTCCAGCATCTTTGAAAGATCCTGGAGAACGGGGGAGGCGCCGGAAGACTGGAAGAAGGCCAATGTCACGCCAGTCTTCAAAAAAGGCAAGAAGGAGGACCCAGGCAACTACAGGCCAGTCAGCCTCACCTCCGTCCCCGGAAAAGTGATGGAACGGCTCATACTGGCCGTTGTCTCCAGGCACATGGAGGACAAGAAGGTGCTCAAGAGTAGTCAGCATGGATTCACCAAGGGAAAATCTTGCCTGACTAACCTGATAGCCTTCTATGATGAAATGACCGGCTGGATAGACGAGGGGAGAGCGGTGGATGTCGTCTATCTCGACTTCACCAAGGCTTTTGACACCGTCCCTCACAACATCCTCCTGGGCAAGCTCCGGAAGTGTGGGATAGATGAGTGCACAGTGAGATGGATTAGGAACTGGCTGGATGGCAGGGCCCAGAGAGTGGTGATCAGCGGTGCAGAGTCTAGTTGGAGGCCTGTGGCTAGTGGGGTCCCCCAGGGGTCAGTCCTTGGTCCAGTCCTGTTCAATTTATTCATCAATGACCTGGATGAAGGCACAGAGTGCTCCCTCAGCAAGTTTGCTGATGATACCAAACGGGGAGGAGTAGCTGATACCCCAGAGGGCTGCACTGCCATCCAGAGGGA